GCTCGAAGCCGGGAGTAGGAGCTTCCAATAAGCGTTCCATTGCAACCATCCTCCTAACCTTGTGCAAGGCGAAGCAGGAAAAGTGCCCAAGAGGTGGCCTATGAAGAGAAGCAAACACACAAGCTATCCGGCACGAGAAATTTTTGCCAACGACTTGGGCATCTCCAACGCAGGTCACCATGAGAACTCCGACATGTCGTCCTCTGTCCCCAGCCCGTCAAACAGGCTTTTACACCCGGTCTTGTTGATGTGAAATTGCCAATGCTCATGGCAAATGGTGCGGGCGCTGTGCATGGACGTAAACACCACCCATTAGACGTCGACGATGCTCAAGTCCCTCAGAGCCATTGTCACGAAGGCTGTGTCGGACGCCCATTCCCCCTCCTCTGCCTGCAGTAGTCTGACCCCGGACCACCTCCACGAGTGCTCCTTCCTTCAACTCCGGCGCCTCCTTGTTTGCGACATCCACCGTAGCCATGGGGACGCGCTCTACCTCTCCTCCATCTCCTCCTCTTCCAAGCTCAGCTCTGGAGAGCTTGGAGTTGAGCCGCCTGAATGCGGGTTTGGCGCTGGGTGTCCGTGGCGCGAACCTGGACCATGATTTCGGCGTGTCGCCCCTACGAGAGCTGCTTTTACAACACGAATGAGCGGTTCCAGCCATTGCTACGGCGGACAATGGATGGGGATGTGAAGGGTGCTTGGATGGTGAATCGGACGGTGGAAGAAGGTGTTCAGATGTGTAGGATTTTGGGCATGGCCGTCCGGCTTTAAATAGTCGAGGCCTGCGAAGCGGCGATGGTTGAATGTGGGCAGCTGAAGGTAGGCTTTGTGCTGGTGTGAATGCAGGGTAGGCGGATGGCCGATAACCCGATAGTCATGTCCGCTGAATGTGTGGAGACTTACGAGACATGATTTTTAGCAACCGGTTGCCCCTAGACCCTCTATGAACTATAAATTCAAAACAAATTGAATTTCTTTTCAAAAAATCTGAAACTCTGAGACTTCAAACATGATCAGACTTTCGATGATCTTGCAAAGTTTCAGCTCCAAACAACAATCGTAGTGCCCTCACCTAAAGCAGTAAAATCATTGTTCAAAGTTTATGTACACTTTTGAGCAGTGAATTTGTTTTTTTTTTGTGAGGACTCCATGCATGAAGGTTATTTGTTTCTGAAACTTTGCAAGAACACCAAATCATTGATCTCTGAAAGTTTCAGATTTTTTTAAATATTTTACGAATTTACTATTCATGAGGGTGTAGGGGCACCCGGGTGCTGTTACAACTTTCTCCTTCTGGAATGGACACCGTGGGAAAGGATTTTTGGGTGGGTCCGTGTTGTCAGAGTCGATATGGCGGATGCCCCCTAGTTTGATACCGGATTATGGGATTTCAGATTTTTGAACCGGGCGCAGACACTTTTGGTGAGCTACTTTGGATGGCTACAAGTGTCCGGACGGTCTGGTCCGACATTTGCGGGAGAATAGATGATGCGTGTTGGAGATGCCCTTACAACCATCTTGCCATTGGAGGCTTTCTCCTTGTTCATTTGTAAATCTGAATTGAATCGAATATCGTTACAACAATCAATTGGCGAATCAAGAAACCCAAGATAACAGACTCATAAATCATAACCCAAGATAAGGAAGATTGTTGCTTATTTTCGCTGATCAAGGAAGCGCTTGATCACCGTGAGCAGTTGGTCTGCCGCCGGAGAGAAGGGTTTTGTTGCAAAGAAGGCGTGCTCCTGCCCAGGGAACACGGCCAGCTCTACGTCCTTCCCCATCGCCTTGAGCCGGTCGGCGTACTCGATGTCCTTGTCCCTCACCATGTCGCACTCCGCTGCCACCACGAGCATGCGCCCGACGTCGGCCGTCTCCAAGCTCGGGCTGGCCGGGCCGAATGGGTTAACCAGCGGGTCATCCTTGTTCGCCCCCACCGGCATCATGAGGCGGAAATACTTGTCGGACATCTTGAGGCTGAGGAAGGCGGTGTCCGGCGTCTCCAGCTCCGACTGGGTTGCCGTCTCCGACAAGAAGGGCGGCATGAGCAGGATGCAGCCGGCGATCTTTACCATGGGGTGTGGGCGGAGTAGCAGGTGGTGCGCGAGGGTGGCGCCGGAGGACTGGCCGCCGAGGAAAATGCAGGCGTCCTCGGCCAGCCATGGGTCGGACCGAGAGGAGATGCGGGTGGCGAGCCAACGGAGCGCGGTGGCCGAGTCCTCCATGGCGGCGGGGAGAGGGTGCTCGGGGGCGAGGCGGTAGTCGAAGGAGAGCACGACGGCGGGCAGCTCGCAGGCGAGGCGGAGGCAGCCGGCGTGGTTCTTTGGCCAGGAGTAGGAACTGTTAGGTTAATCATGACTTTGTTGCATGGATAAGCTAGCTACATGCGTGCGTGAGTTGGTTAGTCTATGCATGGCGTTAGTTAGCTGGTTAAGTTGTTAGCTACGTGCATGCATCGGATGGATATGGTTGCATGTGGTTGAGATATTCTAGGAGGTGGGCGTCCGTGTGTGTGCATGGATAGAGTTTGTTAGACTCCAGACTCCAGGGTAGTTATCTATGTGTGCGTTCAGGCTGCAGGGTGGCCGGTGAGTCTGGCTATTTAAGCCATGTAATCCAGTTCATTGTGGAGAGGGGGTATTGTGCCCGGTTAAGAGAAAAAGAAAGGCCGTGCGGGCGGCCGTTGCGCCGTTCGTCGGCGTGGCGCCGTTCGTGCGGCGAGGCGTACGTGGTCTGAAAATCTATGTCTAGCACTTCTTCTTCTATCTTCGTTCGAGCGAGAGAGACAGAGAGAGGTTCGTCCGGCGGTCGTGCTGCCGAAGGCTACTCGGCGTTCGTCGCCGGACCGGTTATGTCCCAACAGGAGCCGAAGACGAAGCCCCCGCCGTAGAAGTAGACGAGCACCGGCAGCTGCAGCTTGCTGTTAACCTGGCCGAGCCGTGGCCGGTAGATGCGCACGCCGAGGTTGTATTGGGCGTCGTACACGGCGTCCTTCCACTCGACGCGGCCGTCGTCGTAGTTGGCCCCGGCGGGGAAAGGCGGCGGCGCGGAGCGGATCACCGTGCCGTCGCTGAGCAGCTTCATGACGCCCAGGCAGTCCTCGACCACGTAGGGGATGGCCTTGGCTTTGGCCTTCCCATTGGCAGTGTCCCCTATTGATTCAGGTTCACGAGAGAGGACAGTGGTGGACGGCATCGGCAACGGAGGTGATCGATGCTGATTGGGCTGTGTTGCTTTGCTTTGCTTCACCAACGGAGGTGAATGCATGCATTCTTCTTTTAAAGGTGCATCGAATGCACTAACATGTGATCATGAATAATCGGTAATCACCAACAGGGATAGCACATGACGTTTCTGCCCCGCCTGTCAACGACAACCAAGGGCCATTTTGGTCATTTTGTTGTTTTGACCTAGACTTGTTTTTATGACCAAGCTAGATAGGCTGAGGTCCTGATATTTATGCTCAAAATAACGTGTCCAACTGCATTATTGTGCATTAACTCCAGTTGGCCGATCGAGTTACTAGCTGCCGCTAAACAAATAAAAATGTAGTATTTTATTAACATGGTATGGACAGATAGGTCGTTGACTGCATCCGGGGCTGCGTCGACATGTCATGCGTATATTTTCATAACGTAACCGGTTACTGATGTTAAATTTTCACATGGTAAATCCAGTGACTATAGCATGTCTATTGCAAATACACACACCCACGACTTGATGGAAGCTCATTTTAGATATCATTTCTGAGTTGTTTCTTAAAATGCTTTATTTGAGAATTGAGAGAATTTCGAACAAAAAACCCTACCCTTTTTCGAATGTTCCTAACACACCGAGCATACACGGCAAAGAGGAAGTATCCATTGCCACAAGAATTTAAGTGTAACCATGTTAGCTAGCATGTTACCCATGCTCTAGAACCATACAAATTGTCGTTGAACAGTCCATATGATGTTCACATCCACTTAGGGATAGATGCCCTCAGGTATTAGGGACCTGTAATTGTCTTTTATGAAATTAAGAAGAGATCGAGTTCATGTCATGGGAAATAATATAAGCTTTGTTTTCTCTTTGATATGATGGTGTCAGAATATTACTCCTCATTTGTTATCAAGCCATCGCATTCATTGGCTTACTATCTCATGCTTTTTTTTTGCTGAATAGTATCTCATGCTTTACCTGCTAGTTATAACAAATCTTTGTCCTTTTCATAATATGTTTAAAGCAAACCGTTCATCTTCTGTAGTTATATATCCAATTAGTCACGTGCATGTATGGTGAGAAAAAGCTAATAGTTGAAAGCAGTTAATTTCTAGCATATTTGTAAATCACAGTTTTACTTCTAAACTATTTGTTGTGACACTACTTGCCCCATTTACAACTTTTTTGTCACAAATTACGAAGAAAAAAATAGTGCCCGCTATGCGAAATAGTGCCGCCCCTTAAATTATACTATTAGTGTGCTATAGTGCGCTATAACGTGCTATTAGCGATACACCGTACACTGATTTATTTAGTGACACAATTCTCTACATGCTATAGTGTGCTATTAGCAGCGATACATCACACTATTTTTTCAGTGCGAATTCCCCCTAATTTTAATAGGCTAGGGTATTTTGTCACTACCTATGATTCTAATTAATTGACGCAACCTCATATAATTATAATAGAGGCTGCATCAATTAATTTGGATTGAAGGGCATTCCTTATTGCTATATTTTTTATACTCTAGCCTTGGAAGCCCATTCTTCTTTTTTCTCGAGTTCCTTCTTTTTTGTACGGATTTAAAGGAAAAATTACAAGTTAGCGTGAGCTCGTAAACAAATCATTTCAAAAAATAATATGTATTAATCGCAAGGTGAACACTTTGGTGTCACAATATTGAGATGGCAATGTTGATGCTATAGCAATTGGCAAACCGGAGTTGCTAAGGGCATCTCCAACGCCGACTCTCAAAGCTCTCTCAACCGTCCGGACAGAGCTGTCCGGATCACGGAAGCCATCCAACGCGGTCCTGTGTAGGTCCGCGGCACGGTCCGGACACGTTTTCTCTTGTAAGCCAGAGACAAATGTGGGGGAGGTTTGTAGGAGCCCGGACCAATTCCAAGCCCGTTTCTGACCGCCCTGGCCCACCAAAAGCCCCTCCTCCCCACGTGCGCTTCCCACCAAGCGCTAGTTGTCCGGATTCATGCCGTCGTAGAGCGCGTCGCTCCACATTGAAGGTGGCTCAGGGCGGACGTGGCCTCTTACTGCCCTTGCCATTGAAGCGGTGTGCTGGCCGAGGGCGGAACCCGCTGCGCACCCGGCTGAACACACCTCCTTGCCGCAGTCAAACGCCTCCATTAAACCCGCGTGGAAGTCGAGCAATTTACTATGGCCACATGTCCGTTCATGAGCAGGCCGACATTAAACGCAACGCCGGCCGAGCTCCTCCTGTCCACCCTCTATTTAAACGAGGCCAGACGCTGGGCAAGAATCGCACCCCTCCGCTGCTCCCTCATATCCTCCTTCACCATTTTCTCCAGTCTTCCGATGACATCCGAAGAGTAGTCCTCCGGCATACAAGCCGGCTGGGTGGCTCGCCAAGCCTGTCGGATACAAGCGAGGCAGCTCGTTGCTCCACCTCCCTCACCTAACACGATGGAGCCAGTTGCCGCCCCAAGCCAGCGCGTGGTTCAGCAACTCGCCGCTTGAAGCCAGCTCGCGGAGGAGTGGCGAGTTGCTCCATTCCGGCACAGCGGGGAGCACGACGGCACGGACATCGCCACATAGTACCTGCGACCGCGCCATCCACCGTCGATGCGCGTGTAGGCGCGCCATGCACACAGAGAAAGAAGTCGGTTGTGCGGATGTCGACAAGGTGTCCGCCGTCACATCCGCGCCCATCGCCATCATTGAGGAGAAGTAGAACACGAGAGGCCGCCGCCGCTTGGGTCCCAGGAAGGCCACCGCCGGTGATCCGACTGGTTCTCCTTTATCTTAGACCATCATGGGCACCCGCCTGAGCTCCACGGAAGCACCCTTCCCCTCCGTCTGAAGCACCCTCTTTGACGCTCCGATGAGTGGCGCACCCGGACATAGGGAAGATGGACTTAGGGAAGATAGGGGGGAAATATGCCTCTATGGCTCCCGACAGTCCGGTTAGCGGGTTGCCGGACATGGGAAGACAAAGGGTTCCACCGCGGCCAGCCGTAGACTAGTTTAGTATATCCGTGTCATGGAAGTGGAGCTCTGCGCGACTGTACGTGCACTTAGTTTTAGCTTTTTAGTTGGAAACATGTCCAAAATGTAACCGCTTTCGTCCGGTTTGTATGAAATCTGTCATGTTTATATGAAATCTACCTTGTTTGCACGCATTTCATGTGGTTTGTTGAAAAAGAGTTTAAAATGTATGCGCCTATGGTTGGATGGATTCCTTCCATATCCATATCCGTGGACTGGTCCCCCTATCCGCCTACAGATGTGGGAGGAAATTTGCGGGTTGCCGTTGAAGATGCCTAAGAAGCATCGGTTGGACCAAGAATTTGTTACTATTCGTAGAATATATAAACAAGTACATGGTGCGACAACTCAAATTGTTGTTGATCGATTCGTTGCTGGTATATATAACTCGTATGCTTGTTGCAAATTTAATGATGGCCATTGGGGTAAACGGTCCCGGGGGTAATTGCCAAGGAGAGTGGCGAGTGCGAGGACACAGATCCAAGTTCAGTGGGCACACGGCAGTTGCGTCTTTCATTCTGGGCTAAACCTTGCTGCAAAGAAGGCCATCTTGCATGATTTACCTTTTTTCTTGCATGACTTGGTAACACCAACTTTCCATATCTTCAAATAAACGGACTTGGTCTCGTATCATGTAAAGTAGGAGGATCAATGGCAGCTAGGAAGGAGGATCATGGGTTGACACGAGAAAATCCACTATTGTACGGTGATACTAATAGAACGCCCGTGCGTTGCTAGAGGCTATCCTGCAAATCAATGAATCAAACAAATGATGAAGATTGTCTTGAAAGTCGAATCTCATTTCTTTCTCATACATCCTCGCGTGTTCGGACATCAAATGAGAGTCTTGCATGCTCCTCAAAATCCAATTGTCTAAACAGTCTGGGCTCCCACAAATCCAGACCATATGTGCGGAAGAAATTTGGTTGTCCGGATTATTCATCATGTTATCTCCAGCGTGTGGGCCCAACACAAAAACCCCACCCCATGACTACCTTTCCTTTTCCTGCCCGACCCTCCCCTTCCCGCTCCCCGCCCAGATCCCCTCCCCCATGTTCGTGCCGATCCACCACCCACATCAAGGGGTAAGAGGCGTGCGCGGCCCGTGACGCCCCTCCTCCTCCACCACCCCCTGAGCCAAAAAGGTAGATCCAATGTCTCCCGAGCCATTGTCATGTTGTAGCATACAGTTGAATGTCGTGCATTCCACAAAAATATTACGTCTGTTCTTGGGCATACCTCATCTTAGCCATGGCGCCCTCCTTCATACCATACTTCTCCATGGAACGCCAAGGAGGAGTCCCCCCACTAATCGCCCCGCTCTCCGATCTGATCCCCCTCCCCTCACGGAAATGTGGTTGTCCGAACTATTCATCATGTTATCTACAACATGTTGGCCCAACATAAAAATCCCACCCCACGATGCACCCTTTTCTTTTCCCGCCGAATCCTCCCCTTTCCGCTCGGTTTCCCGCCGTAAAGGGACATTTTTCGCTGAAGCCACCCGTGTGCCAAGAAGGCAAATCCAATGTCTCTTGAGCCATTTCCACGTTGTAACATACAGTTGAATGTCGTGCATTCCACAAAAATATGATGGCCATTGTTGGGCACAACTCATCTTTGCCTCGCTCCTCTCTCCTTCACACCGTACTTCTCCATGGACCTCCAACGAGGGGTCCCGCGCAAACCGCCCCGCTATCCGCCCTGATCCCCCCTCGTGTTCGTGCCGATCCAACACCACCCTGCTCTCCGCTATGATCCCCTCCCCTCGCGGGAGTTTGTCGGACTAGCCATTATGTTATCTCCAACACGTGGGCCCACCAAAAACCTAACCCCATGATGCACTCTTTCCTTTTCCTACCGGATCTCCCCTTCCCGCTCGGTTTCTCGCCATAGCGGGACATTTCTCGCTGGAGCCCTCTTCTTTAAAATCGGATGACGCCCACCTCACCATCACCAAATAGCCCTCTCTC